GCCCGCGAGCACGCGGGCTAGCGCGGCCGCAGAGATGCACCCGCCAACGCCAAGCACTCAGCGCCATTGCCGCCGCATGCTTTTTGCAAAACACGTTGCGGGTTGGTGGGCTGGGTGATTGCGCGAGCAGTGGAGTTGACGACAGCGGGATCCACAAGTGAGTTGCGCCGCGTAGATTGCACGTCTCGTCGTATAGTGTGCCGCCTAGCCTTTGCCACATATATTGCACCACGTAGCTTGCATCTCGTCTAATATTCCTTTCCTGCGAAGGGATTCGGATCTGCCCCCCCTCCGGGGGTTATCGTTGTAGGTCTGGCTTGGGATTCTGCAATTTACATGAGATTCTTCCGCAGCGTTCATTCAAATATGAGTTCGTACCATCCCAGCCATGTCGGCATCGTGCTTTCCCCGCCGTCCTCGTCGCATGACGGCATGCGCGCGCATCCGTTATCGCAAATCATCAATGTGTAAGAATCTTGGGCAGAAATGAAACTGAGTCCACATGCGCGCGGGGCGCCGCCGAAATTTCTAAACCTTGGGTCCATGTTCACAAAAAAACAGAAATCCATAGGTTTTGCAAACCGATTTTTCAAACAACGTCTGCGCGCGCGCCCCTGTTTATTCTTAAGGAAGCCGTTCGATTTCAACAGTTTCATCGAATGCGCCCAAACGGGCCCATCGCGCGCATGTTGGAATCATTCGAAGGCCTTAACGCGCGTGGTGGAGGGGCACGGTCCTTACCAAGTAATAGCATGCGGGCCAGTCGCGCGCGTCGGCTACGCGCGCATGTTGAAGTCTTTCCAAAATATTCACCACCGACACGTGGATACTATCATCGCCATCGGCGTGATCATCATCGGCGCCGTCGTTGGTTTTGCCGTCGTCGTTGTCGCCATCGTCACCAGCATCGCCACTATCTTCATCGCGTCTGCCGTTGTCGACGTCGCCATGATACGCGCCCGCCCGCGCCACCGACTCGCACTGAAGAGCCCGCGCGTCAACGCGGCCTGCGAGACGCGCTGGGGATTTCCCAGCGGTCAGGGCCACCGCGGCTGCGTCGGTCGCGCCGGACTAGCTGGCCGCACTGCGCCGGAGCCTGCGTGCGATAGCGCGGCCGCAGCGATGTGCCAGCCCGCGCCAAGCAGTCATCGCAAGCGCCGCCGCATGTTATTTGTAAAACGAATTGCGGGTGGGTGGGTGGGGTGATTGCGCGATCAGTGGGGCTGGCAACTTCAACTCCGGCAGGGTGACTTGTACCGCTCAGATTGCACCGCGTAGATTGCATCACGTAGTCGGTTGTGAAGGGGGTGGGATCGCATTGGGACGGAGAGCCCCCCATGGGGAAATCGGTTTTGGGTTCGGTTGCGTGTCGTCGTGCAGCCGAGGCGGAGCTGCGTGGGCGGGCGAGAGGAATGAACCTTCCTCTGGCTAGGGCGCTGCTGGGCCAAAGATCAGCCCCTATAGTTTGGTTGTCCTTTGTGGCGAGTAAAGGCAGGGGAAACCAACAAAAACAACACACCCAACAAAGCCACCCAAAAAACCAACACCATCTTTCTGGCCACCAAGAAAACATCGAAATCTCGGTTTTGTGAGGTTTTCCATTGTTATCCAAAAGGAGTTAACTTTGTGGCAGCCCTACAAGAACATTCCTTTTGTGGAGGATTGCAGAATAATTCCACCTAATAATGTGGCGGCTTTACAAAGTAAGTCCTTGTGTGGCGGGCAGGGCGGGAAAGTATCAAAACCAACAAAATCAACACAACCCAAGGAACAACCAACACAACCGCCCTGGCTACCAGCAAACAGACGAGCTTGTTTTATGTATATGTATGTATGTATGTATGTATGTATGTTTGTATGTATGTATGTATGTATGTATGTATGCATATTTATATGTGTAATTATATTTATATATACATATACATATATATATATATATATATATATATACACACATACATATACATTTACACACATACATGTACCAATTCTTCGATGTATGTGTTTATTTATTTATTTATATAAAACTCTTATTGCACCACATGAGGATTCCTTGTGCAATCCGCCACGAACAAATCCTTTGGAATCCGCCACAGGAGGAATCCGTTTGTACGGCTGCCGCAAAAACGAATCCCTTGGTACCCCACCACAGAAAATAATCCCCTCGCTTAGAAAAAAAAGCTAACGACATTTAAGTTTCCTTGATTATTTTTTGAAGGACTATGGAGTTATGTTGTTTTTTTGGGGGGGTCTCGTTGGTTTTGTCACTTTCGTTGGTTTTCCTTGCCTTGCCCGCCACAGAGGGACACCTCAGAGGCCGCCGCACAAGGAATTCTGTTGTAAAGCCGCCGCGCAAGGAATCCCTTTTATGTAACCGGCCACATAAATAATCCTTCTGTGAGGCTGCCATGAAAGAAATACTTCTGCTTGGAATGGAACAACTAACGATACCGACCAGGGAGGTTTTGTTGTTTTTTCCTTTGGTTTTGTTGGTTGTGTTGCTTTTTGTGGTTTTCCGTGCCTTTCCCGCCACAAGGGAATCTTTTTGCAAGGGTGCCAAAAACAAACAAGGGAATCTTTCGGTACCCCACCACAAAATCAATTTTTTTGGCTTGGAATATGGAAGAACTAACAACACCGGATTCTTTTTTGTGACCAGGGCGGTTTTGTTGCTTTTCCCTGGGGTTTGTTGGTTTTGGTGTCCCTGCCTTTGCCGCCACAAAGGTAATCCTCTTGCCAGGCCGCCGCACAAGGAATCCCGTTGTAATCCGCCACACAAGGAATCCTTTTATAACCCGTCACAAACATAATCCTTTGTCTGGAATGGAATAGCTAACGACGCTTAGGTATCGTTTTTTTTTTTTTTTTTGTGGTGGCCAGAGATGTTTTGCTGGCTTCTCCTTGGGTTTTGCTGGTTTTGTTGCTTTTGTTGGTTTTCCATGTCCTTTCCGCCACAAGTGGAGTCATTTTGCCAGGCCGCCACACAAGGAATCCTTTTGTAATCCACCGCGAAAAGAATTCTTTTACAATCCGCCACAAAAGAACATATTTTGTAAGGCTGCCAGACATGGAATCCGTTGGTATTCTCGCCACAAAGGAATCTTTTAGTTTGGATTGGAAAAACTAATGAAACTCAGGTTTCGTTGTTTCTTCTGGTGGCGAGGGAGGTTTTGTTGGGTATTCCTTTGTTTTGAAAGTCTTCCATGCCCTCCTGCCATACCAAGGAATCCTGTTATCCGGCCGCCACAGAAATACTTCGTATGTAAGGCTGCTACAACAAGAACCCTTTAGTAATCCACCAGAAGAGGAATCTTTGTGTGACCCGCGATATGAGGAGTCGAACGCCACATATTAACAGCAGCAGCTGAAAGCACGAACGCCGCTCAGATAAGAAAACAGAGGGTGAGGTAGATCACAGGGTGGTGACCGACCTTTTTTTCCAATCTGGTCGTTACAACGGTGCTGCCGTTGCAGCGTGGGCCTCATTTTAGGCTCTGTGCTTTGCTCCCGTCGTTCAAATTGGCGCTCTCGCCTCAGCGCGGGCCACTTTTCTGCATCCGAGTCTTTCCTCATCGTTGTCGTCCCCCCTTTCCTCTCCTCCGCCTTCCCCTGGTCTGCTCCTCCCGGTCCCTCTGCTTCAGTTCCTGCTGCTGCTGTTCGCTCTCGTCCTCCTCCTTCGTCATCCTCCTTTCTTTCCTCCTGCTCATCCTCCTGCTCATCCGTCATCTCCTTCAATGTACCCAGCTTCCCCATTTCCGATTGTGCAAAACACGATGGGGTTCTTTTTTGTCTTCCAGATCCGCTATGACACGCGTCGGCAGATAGAACAAATCAGCTCCATGGGCGAGGATGGGTGGGAAGGGTAGGATGTCAGATATGGCGCGAACGCACCTAGCTTGCCTCTCTTCTCTCTCCTCTCTTCTCATCCCTCCTCCTCTCTCCTCCGTTCGTTTTCTGATTACGACCGTTGGGCGGTATACGACGATGATGTTCTGCTCGGGCCGGGTTGACGGCGATAGCGCTGCCAAGGTCTGCGGCGGCGGGACTGGTCTGACGGCGACGAACACCACCACGACCTCAACGGGCACCCATCCTAGAGGCTTGTGCCATTCCGGTGCCGCCCGCGACTCGTGGACCCCTGGGCGTCTTGTGAGGCGCATACTGACCAGGATCTCCAGGCGGATCCAGCCGTGGCCACGAGGGCGCCCCAGGATGAGCAACAACTTGCAGAAAGCGAGCCTCGAACCTCGATCCTCGAACCTCGAGCGTCCTTCCCTGTCGTTCCCTCGAATGTCTCGCCGATGCGCGCCGAGGCCTGCGTGTGCCCCGGCCCATCGGCGTGTTCGCCTCGTGCCCGCTGTCACGAAGGGCAGCGAGAGAGATGGCGCGACGACACGTCATAGTCTGTACGATCTACCGTTGGGGGTCATACCGTGACGCGGCCGGACGCTGCTGGAGACCAGACAGTGCGGAACAACTGGGAGAAGCACCACCTTGGCACCCGCGCACATCTGACCGGGCCCCGGCCCGCCCGCGCCGCTCCTGCGGGCCCCGCCTGCCCGTCTCGTCTCGTCTCGTCGTCTCGCCCGCTGTCCTGCACCCTCTTCTCCTTCAGTTCCTCCTCCTCCTCATCATTGCAGCTTCGCTGGGCATGGGGCGGAGGGTTTGGAGGAGCAGCAGGAGAAGAAGTGTCAGGAGGAGGAGGAGGGGGTGGTGGTGGCGGTGGTGATGGGAAGTTTGGCTTCTGCCCTGGATCCTGATTCCCGGAGGCCCCCAGAGGCCGCAGAAAGGATGAAGACGGCCCATTGCAGCACGAGAGTGCTCGAACACCTCTCTCCTCGATCCTTGAGGGTCGTGGGGGGAATCTTGGAAGGACCCCCGACCAGCGGGGGTCGGCGGACTCCTCGACGACCTCCCTCACAACGACCTCGGCATCCAGCACCGCCACCTCGACCACGACCACGGGCTCCAGCACCACCGGCTCCTCCACCGTGACCTCGATGTCCAGCACGAGGCGCTCTGGCGCCCTCCCGCGCCTCCGGGGGGGCGAAGGGGGGAGCCAACACGTGCGGGTTTCAGTTTGACAATGCTGCAGCACCATACTCGGATCAGATCTTCAGCAACCAAAGGTACTGGCTGCTACAGTACCTGCCACACGCTAGGCCATGGGGATTTCCAGGTTGTGCCGTTTCACAATGTACAAGTAAGATGGGTTTGCGGGCAGAGGATGTTCAGACACAAGTCATGCGCATTTTCCTCGGAGGGGCAGCTTAGGCCTTGGGAGTTCCACAGATGGGCCCAGCACGTTCAGAGGTTTTGGATCTACCGCCAGCCTTCTGGGCCGGTGGATTCCGGGTCGACGGTAGATTTCCCAGCAAATTTCGGGTCGAAGGTTGATTTTCCAAAGTGTCTCTCAGCCATGGCTCCACGGCGCCTGCTATAGTTGAGCGACCACGATGCCCAATTGTGGCTAGACGTTTTCCAGTTGACATTTTTGCCCAGGGCGGTCCGCATTTTCTTTTAGCAATGCTACTTCTGTTGCTGCTGCTCCTCTCACCTCAGCACAACCTCGTCGCTGTCTACTCGGACGGAGAGTAGTTCAATCAGCGCGACTAGCTCGACAACTGGTTCGACGGCCACCATTACCATGACGAGGCATTCCGTCATTGCTTGCTTATTTGTGCTAGGCTGCGTTGGCGGATGGAGGGCCACGATCCAAGGGTAGCGCTCCTCCAGCAAGCAGAGCGGCGACTTGCATGCTGCGTGCTCGAATGCGTTTCTATCACGGTCGTCGAGTGCTGGGTGCATGGCTGTCTGGTGCGCGTGTATGTGCGGCATGCGTGACACATGATGTACGCATGTGTTTACAGGCTTCTAGGTTTCAGGTGTATGCGTTGCGCACGTATGTGTCTTTTTCAAGCGGGTCGTATGCGGGTGAGCCTACGTATGCCTGTGTACTCATAAGCATGTGCGCACGTGTGTAGCAGTGCGTGCATTTGTGTTGGCCTGTGTGCCTCTGCGTGCCTCATCAGACCCATCTTAGTGTTTGTAGGCTGCTGGCATTTGGCCCTGGATCGATTCGGCTACCGTGCAGGGGTTCGCTCACAGCTCCTTTATGTTGCGTGTTCGGCCACCTTCGCACGTTCCCCACCCCTCCTGCGTGATTTCCCCGACCATCCTGAACTGATGTATCGTAGGCTTCTCTCTTCTGCGCCGCGCGTCTCACCACTCACTGATGGCACGGATCGTGCCCAATACGGAGCTCCACTTACGGCCCTCGTGGGGGATTGTGCGCAGGCGCCCCCTCCGCACGTTCCGGTGCGCCTCGCCGGCGGATCGTACCTCATAGGGAGCTGCACCTACGGCCCTGGGGCGTGTCTGTGTGTCTGTGTGTCTGTGTGTCTGTGTGTCTGTGTGTCTGTGTGTCTGTGTGTGTGTGTGTATAGGTGTGTGTTTGTGTGTGTGTGTGTGTGTGTGTGTGTGTGTGTGTGTGTGTGCACCGCCCCCCCCCCCCGCGGATGAAGCTACCGGGGAAGTCTGCGCCACCTGGGAGCTCCACGACTCGCAGGCCCGGGCGGTGAGGCCCCGACGGCCGTGCCCACCTTCTGAGCCTCTGCGTGCAGAGGCCGCCGGGCACCGGCAGGCCGCGCACACCACCCGGGCGCCCTGCCAGCCCTGCCGGCCCGGCCCTGCCCGTCGCCGGGCCTCGGCTGCGCTCGCCTCCCGGAGCAGCCCGGCCTGCTGCAGTGCCCTCGAGGGCCCTGCCCGCGGCCCGCGGGCAGCCGCCTTCCGCCTCTCCCCGGACGCCCTCTGCCGCTTCGCCCGCTGTGGGACGGCGCTCGAGGGCGCGCGTGCCTTTACACATACCTGAGTCGTCGAAAGCTATTTGATTTTTTGGGGGGCCAAGATCCTTTCATCTCTAATGGTTCTATCCTGGACCTCTTCCTGGCCACTAGGGGGCCAGGAAAAATTAGAGACGAGCGCAATTAGAAGTGAGCACGATCAGAAATGAGCGACGTGTACCCTGGATGGGCACCACCGGAGGGGGCCCAGCGGTTCAGGCCACGGCAAGGCCGTCGAACGTTTTTCCCACGACCTGTCCCCGCACCAGCCCATTGCCGCCAGCCTATCCAGACCTCCTCGAGTAACGAACAAATCATGACGGGAGGTTTTTTCTGGATTTTCGGCCTCCGGGGGCCCTCACCGGGCCTCGGGAGCGTCAACAAAACGACTCGGGATGCAAGGCTGGTCATGGGGAAAGGGTCGGGACCTTTGGGGGTCGGCATGATGAACAAATCATTACGTCGAGGGTCTGGGTAGAGCGTGCTTGGTACCTCTGGCGCGGCCCGTCTCAGCGCGAAGGACCCGACATCCCACGCCCTCATATTGGAAGAGGCGGGACAATGCCCAGAGGCCCAGTCCCTCATGTCGCTTTTTGTGGCGGCCACTGGCGGGGGCGCCGTCGCCCTCATCGGTGACCACGCCCAGCTGGGCCCCTACTCGCACTCCCAGCCGGCGGTGGCCATGGGCATCACCATCTCCCTGATGGAGAAGCTTGTGGCCCTTGTCCACGCACACCCCTCCATGGTCACCTGCCTTCGCCTGTGCTGCCGCATGCACCCCGACATCCTCATCTTCACTCCTCTTCAGCACTACAACGGGCTCCTTGCGCGCGGACTCGCCTGCGACAGTGTCGCTACGGCCAGCCCCCCCATCCTGGCAGTCGACTCGCCTGTGCGTCGATCGGTCCAGCACGGGCCCACTGCCGCCTCTCCCCCCGAGCATCCCGCGCAGGCTGCTGCCAGCTCGACCCCAGACCGCCGTGCTCGCCCAGCCGTAGCCTGGCTGGACCTGGGTAAGGACGCGCCTGCGCCCACACAGCCTGCAAGAGGGTGGCCCAGGGGCTCCCCCCCTCCAGCACGGCACGCTGCTTCGACGGCCCCGACGCCTCCCTCGTCGGCGATGCTGGTAGCTCACGGTGGGCCCACGTCTCCGGCGTCGAGTGGTCCCGCGGGGTTAGTTAGCTACTTCGACCCCGCCGAGGCCAACCAGATCGTGTGTTCCCTGCACCGCCTCACCCCCCGCCCTCCGTGACACAGACCACTCCGTGGCCGTCATCTCCCCTGCAAGCTGCAGGTGGAGGCCTTGACGCGCGGCTGGCCTCTCCCCACCGGCGCCACCCAGCCAGCCCAGTGCTGGCACTCCGCCCGCTTGGGTTTCCCAGAGCCCCTTCTCGTCGGCCTCCACGAGGCCTTCCCCAGCGCACGGGTCTAATCTATCGATCAGATGCAGGGCCGCGAGGCAGATGTGGTGCTGGACTCCTGCAGGCGACGTCGACGACGACGACGACGAGAAACCGGTCCACGGCCGGTTCTACATCTTTGGGTCGCCGCTCGGGGGCGACGCAGCGTCGTATCCTTCTTCAGCGTGGCCAGGTCCCTCGCCGGCCGCGACCCGGCCTCCCCCGGCTCCGTGACCTCGCAGTCACCGCAGGACTGGCCGCCCGCGTGCCGTCGTGCACAGGTCGGGTCACGAGGCCGTCGGAGCCATGGCACTTCCGGGCCACGCCCCCGCCGCACGCAGTGAGGAGGAGCGCCACCTGGAGGCCTTCGGCCGCCCAGCAGCAGGCCTTCCTGGGCGCCGTCCGCCAGCTGCCCCCGGCCGGCTTCACCGCGGCGGGCACATGCCAGGACCTCTTCGAGCGCCTGTCCTGGCTGGTCGAGGTCGAAGGCTTTTCTCCCCCTCCTTGCTCTGGTGGTTCGCCCTCACCCCCACTGGCACCGCTCAGGCAAGCAGCTGCTGCATCCCGTGCGGTGCGATCGCAAGTCCCTGTCGAAGTTGGCTTGCGCGCTCCGCCCGGTGCTGGGCTGCGATGCGGGCAACATCTGCCTCGCTGGGTGGTGGCGCTTGCTGCTCCGCCTGCTGGGGCTAGGGCCCGACCGGAGGCAGCCAGGGATCGGGCGAAGAGAACTATGCACATGCACCGATCCTGGCAAGGCCCATCTTTGACCCAGGATCGGTGCATATGCCTTCCTGGCCAAGGTAGGAGGGCGTATGCACCGATCCTGGGCTCAGGATGGGCCTGGCCAGAATCGGTGTATGTGCATAGTTCTCTTTCCTCTGGCCAGGGAGGCCAGGGGTGGGCGCCCCGACCTTCGAGGGGAGGCCAGGGGGAGAGGAAGCAACGACCGCCACGAAAATCACGGGCTCCTCGCCCATGGGGAGGGGGCCGGCCAGGGGAGGGCTCTCCGCGGCCCAGAGGGGTGGCCAGGGAGGCCAGGGCGGGGGAGAGGACGGGCGACCACGAAAAGAAGGGGGAGGAGGAGGAGGAGGAGCAGGAGCAGGAGGAGGAGGAGGAGGAGGAGGAGGAGGAGGAGGAGGAGGAGGAGGAGGAGGAGGAGGATTCTGCGGGCCAGGGAGGAAGGCCAGGGAGGCCAGGGGCGGGCCTCCCGACGCCGGAGGGGGGGCCCCCCTCTGCATCGTCCCAAGTGGTCCGGGCGCACTCTCTCCCCCGTCTTGATGGCGCCAGGTGCAGTGGGCCCCTCGCGGGCGCGGCAGCGCCGCCCGCGGCGGGCGGAACAGCGCCGGGGGACGCTGCCGCCGCCAGCAACCCGCTGGCGCGCGACCCCCCCCCCCCCCTCAGCGAGGACCTTGGGCTCCCCTCCCGAGCCCAGTGGCCCCGGGGCCCCTCGCGGTTCACCCCCTGGCAGCCGTGGCCGCGACCGTCTGCAGGCCTTCCTCGACCTTGGAGCGGAGCTGGGCAGCCTTCCCCAGGGCACACCTTGCGCAGCGCGTCGAGAACAGAAAGGACTCGGCCGCGATGGTGGGGTGGCATTGTGCGCCGCGAGAAGTGTGGACGGAAGGGCCGCCCAGTCCAGCTGGATCCCGCAGCCTCGTCCTCTCCTGGTCTGCGGTCTCGCCTCAAGCTGCACTTCCCCGCCCGCGCCCCAGGGAGCTGGGTCTTCGCCGCCTGCGCTGCGCGATGCGCCTCGCGGCTCCAGCCGCCCCGCCGGTGGGCAGGCGCAGCTGGCCCGCTCCTCGCGCCCCGCCGCGCCACTCGCGTGCCGCCGCCCCCGGCGCCTTGCTCCCCCCAGGTCGCTTCGCTGGCGGGCGCCGCAGGGCCTCGTCTCGCGATCCTGCGCCCGACGAGCGCGCCGCCTCGGTCGACGCTGGCGTCGATGAGCCCCCTGGGCCTGTCCCGTGACGAGCTGTGCAGGCGGGAATTCAAGGCAGGCAAGGCCGGGGGCGCCCGCGGGAATCGGCCGAACCGCCTCCTCGGGCTCAGCTTCCTGGAGCGCCGATTTCCCGACGAGGCGCACCCTGCCAGCGGACCCTACCAAGTGCCCTACGGGCAGCCTGGTCGACTTCCTCACTGAGCTCTTGCGCAGGCTCCTCGGTCTTCCCAGCCCGTCCGCCGCTGGCTCGTCCGCCGATGGTGCTGCTGGCAGTGACGCGGCCCCTGCCGCCGCGAGCGGCTCCTGCGACCCTCTGTCGAACGGCGGAGGCTCTCAGCGGGCTGTCGCCGGCCCGCCGCGCGGCGCCTTGCTGCCCGCCCCATCGCGGCGCGCCAGCGTCCCTGCGCCCCTCTTGGGGCGCCCGGCGGGGCCCCGCCCCCGACGCCCTTCGCTGCGCGCCCCCCGCGACGCTGCGGCCCT